TCACTTGCCGCCGCACAACGCCTTTATAAGAATTAGCGAGTTTCAGACAAAACAAACAAACCAAATCAATTTTCTCACCAGAAATAACAAAACCAACCGGGAAAGTTAATTGAATGTGGCCTTAGTCAGACAAAAACAAAAAAAGATTAATCCATAAAATTCTAGGGATAAAATAAAGAGGGGAAATAGTTCAAAGTACTTTTCTTGTTTGAATGTTTTACACGCTTTTCTTACAAAGATTGTGACCTTACAGCTCAGAGGTGTGCATGCCATGACGCTAACAAGGTAAAAATGGTGATGTGCATCGTAAAAGTAGCGGTTTTTTACACAGACTCTCTGGCCTATTAAGCAGCCACGTATAAACAATACCGATGACCTCTTGCAAAAGGAGCATTGCAACAGGGTAGATATTGACAAATACCCTCCCGCAGACGTACACAGGTCACAGACGGACATTTCCTTGTAGTTATGATGTTTGTAAAAGTTTTATGACTCACGTCTGAAGTTCAATGCGAAGCAAACGTTTTTTCAGTATGAAATAGCACGAGCGTTCTTCCATACTTTCGAAGATGATTGAGACTTTTGCAAAGATTTTACTAGTAATTTGAATTTTTATTAAATCATGTTCAAGACATTAAAACCGTAGCGTGAAACTGAATGATATCTTCATCCGCATTCACAGACTTGGACCTTTGGAAATAAAGGCGATTTTTACGCTCCGTCAAGGATTCATATTCTCACGGTGCTAATCTCATGGGTTGGACGAAAGCTCAGAAATAAGACATATTAAAGGGTTTTCCTCATTGGATAACGGTTTCAATCCGATGGATACAGCACACCTTGTCTCACCGGGAATCGCTCCTTGATCATAAGCCAGGCCTTCATCATGTAATTTACAATTAGAAGTCTATCAAGCATAACCTCAAATCTGTTCATCAGGAAAGTCCAGCTAAATTCGGCGCAGATCAAACGGTAAATTGTGATGTTTTTTTTTTTCCTGTTCTCCTCTCTCTGACGTGCGCTCATAAATGCTCAAAATTTTCTCGTAACATGAACGTCAACGATAAAATTATTTTCCCAGCTAAAGACAACTCCCCATCACTCCAACTGGCAGAGAATCCTTTGTGAAACTTCCCGGTAGCGATTTGACCACTTATTTATTCTAATATAAAAATAAACAGTAAATTAGGTTAGTTTGCATTATGAATTCCATTGACTGTTCTTTATTTCGCGCACAGTTTCTTGTTTAGTTATATCGATTTCTCTGTTTGCACCACTACAAGAACGTCTAAAGTCCTTCCGATTTCAAAACGTAAAGAAAATTCTTTGCGCAATTTCCACGTTAGTCATATCGATAAATCGCTCCCTGTTATGAAAACATTTGAATAATTTTTAAATGATAATTTTTGAAATAGTTCCTATTCATTTCTGACCTTCTCTTCAAACACCACTTAAAGTAATGTAGAACACTGATCAAAGGCTCCTTTTGTATGCGTGAATATTTATAGAAAATGTGAAAAAATTTAGCAGTCGAATACGACAACTCTGATCCTACAAATCACGCTTCATCTTTTTTTAATTTTTTTCTTACAATACACTATCAAACAGATAGTCAACTATGCATTTGATTATAAATAAATACTGTTCCGGCTGAAGGACATTTCTTCATTAAGTATCAAAATTGCAAACTGGCATCGAGAGAACATTATCAGTCTTATTTCGGGGAGAGTACGTCATTGGACCTGATCGCAACTGTATTAAAGTGCTAATGCGATTAAAGGCTAAACATAGTTCATGTACGTTATTAGGATCACGCTTTACAAGTCTAAACAAAGTATCACTTCCTAGAATGTCGAGAATTTTCCCCGTGATGGCTAATACCACGTCTGGCAATATCTGCCTCACTAACTAAATAGAGCCAAGGGACACTTGTGTCAGTCGGTTGCCTCGCCATCACGTACACAGACCTTCAATTGGATGAAACAGACAGTCACAGATAATTACAAGGTTCGTTGAAAAACGAAAACATGAGTTCAATTTGGTGCTTGTTTTTCACGCACAAAGTCCACCGATTTAGTTCAAGAAGATCTTACAACTTTGAGTCAAAGCCTAAGAAAAGAAGATTTAGCTTCTGGAAGTCAAAGAAAGGTAAGCCTAAATATCATGTCAACACGAACGCTGGCATCATTTAAGGCGGAGAGTATTTCCTAAAATGACTACCGTTGCCAGACTTGTTCCCCGTCTATGGCATTTGAGGTCTCCATTGTCCAAATTAAAGCCTTTTTCGAGATTTCGTTGTGATCCAGTGTCTCCGCAAAAGAACTGTAAGTCCGTTTACCCTATAATCACCAACAGAAAGATTAGACCAATGAAGGAACATTTGAGGCTGATAATTCAATCAAATGAGATACTCGTATCTCAGAAAGTTAATAGCGCTAACTTATTGTGATGATCACGAGCTTTTAGGAAAAATCATCCTCCTGGTGGTTCTTCGGAAATTAACTGCCTCCTTCACCTGAGTGCGATTATAGATCGCCCTTAATTACCTTTACACGAGATAACGAATGTGTACTTTATTCAGCGCTACTATTCGCGTAGTTTTACAATCTATCTTTCTCTTGGCTACCCTTCTACTTTTTTTTGGGGGGGAAAAATATAGTTACAAAAATAGAAACAAATCTAAGTGGTTTGCATTCAAAATTATCATTGCCAAAGATTTGCACACGCGCAAAACTAAGTCTAATCCTATTCAAAATTAGAAGCACATGTGATGGAAAAAGCTTCCACGTGAGTATCACTTGTAACTCCCTTTGCACGAAGTTCTTTCTGTTTAGCCCGAGAAAATTTTGTAGTAGCATTAAAAATGCGCGTCCAGATATCTAAACGGACTGCTCACTTTGTTTTGTCTTTCAAATTGTCACGGTGATGAAGGATGCAATATTGTTTCCAATCTAAGCTTTCTTTTGAAGTTACAAATTGTTGTTCCTTTTTTGTACCGAACGGTTTAAATCATTGACCCTGAATGACTGAGATCGTTTTCTATTTCCTGGTTAGTATTAAAACTCTTCGTAAACGATTTTATTCAATGGGAGGTATTCAATCTTAATTTAAATTCTTTTGGTTCAAAGTTCCATTCCAATATAAGCCTAAATCTTTTAAGAAAAACGAGATTCTTCCTCGTAAGCTCCTTTCGTGAACACAAATGTGCCGCCGACAAGAAAGGGTCTGTAAACTCCAAAAAAAATTATTGCATGTAATGTTTCTTGTCACAGTACTTCCAATAATTCATTTTACTTCAGGGGGCGTTTGATTATTTTGTTCATGGTAAATAATGATGTGCTCCAGCTTTAACAATATCATATCAAAATAAATTGAAACCTTATGGAATAATATCGAAAGGGATAATGTAAACCTGCGCGTTTTGTAGTTAAATATCTAACTTGATTTTTTTTTGTTAATTTTTGTTATATGATCTTCTTTTTTCGTTATTTCTTGGGCAAACTTACGAGTTTCCATTTCACTTTGAAAGACAGCCTGTTGATTTAAAAACGTGACACGGGACTGTTGTTTTCGTCAATTCACTGAAGCTGCAATACTAAGGATTCACGTATCTCAAACGTTTTTCACTAAAAGATCTTTTGATCAAATATTTACGAGAGTGTGATCAATTTTAATTTTAGCAAAGTGACAATTCCATCTACAGTCTTTATACTGTAAAGTTTACCATTTGATAGATTAAATTTGCATTCAAGCACCACAGGTTTAATTCGAACTTTCACGTCTTAACTCTTGAGTTTTGGTTCACTAATTGACATTCGCCTCGATTCTGTTCGTGACAAACTGTTTGTACAGATGGATTATTGTCAGTTTAGATTGAGTTAAATGGTTCGGCAAGAGCGACACCACGGATTTGACGTCGTTCAAAACTATTTTTGCATCGGTATGCGGTGTTTTTTCTTCACAAATACCTCAAGGATTAACAAACACAGAGTGTATCCTGCAAGTTTACTCCTCTCTACTCTATGCTCGTTTGCGGTGATTTAACACTCTTGGTACTTCCTCAAAAGACTAAGGTTTTACCGTGGACACCCTACCGACAGGAAACTTAAGCAAATAGGTCGTCGTACCAATCATTTCCGATTCACTTTGATGAGAACCAAAAGCGAGGTATTTGAATCAAGTAGTTTATTTTTGTCCATATTGGTGAAAAATAGTAACAATATTTTATCAGCATGATCAGTTGATATTTCTTTGTTACTGTTTACTGCAAGCTGCCGGTTTCTTATGAATCTTTGACAAAAACCGACTGTTTTAGTATTCAGTGTTTCTTTCTGATCTCATAGAGTTTCAAGCTAGCGGAACTCTTAGGTCCCAATGCTGAAAGGATTTCATAAACAAAAAAAAATTATAATGCTCTTGGTCGAAATAAGAAGATTTCTTAAGCTATTTTTGCAGATATTTAACCAGGAGTTTGGAAAAGATACGATCTAGTTATTGGGCAGGATCAGATTTTTGTCCCAGGGGTACATCAACAGAATGCACTCTTAAATCGGACGCGTATCGAAAGAAAACTGCATTAGTTCCATCATTAATCAGTGATTAAGTTTTCTATCGAAAGCTCACAGTATAATTTTCACGTAGTAACAACATTTACGATTGGCGCGGTTGTTTACAATGATAATGCGGCAACCGCTCAACCGGAAACAATATTAAAGATGTTTCGTCCAAGAATTTGGAATGGGCCAAGAATAGGAACCTATCATGAAATAACGTGATATTACAGTTTTCAGGTGTCTTATGGATGAGAGGTCAGTCATTATGGAACAAGTGAGCACGATGTTTAAGGGGAGAACGATTAAACCTTGCGGAACGTCCTAAGGTCACAACTGATCCACGAAAATGTCATCTCAGATGAAAGTTTTCGTTCGCTGCAAATGTCAGTTGAGGGTTTTATTCGTACGACAGGACGAACAGCTAATCTCGTGCATCCATAGCATCATAAAATCAGGAAACGCTTGTTTTGAGGTTTTCGAGATCATTAGAAAGCTCTAACTCCCTCCCGGTGCAAACTGAGGGGAAAAGAAAAGAAAGATTTGCAACTCAGCAGATATCTAAGATTGCCCGCGGATGGTTCTGCAACCGAAAGTAGTTTTCACTTCTAACTGATCTATGATAAGTACGGATCATCATGCTATGCAGTGTGTCAGAAACGAAAACGTAATGGAGGTTACGATTCAGTGTCCCATTTGAGGACGTGTCTTCATTATGTGTGGGCTTTGAATGAAGAGCCCCCCTGTAGGGATAAAAAGAAAATCGCAATGACTTTACCAGCCTTGCTACGGTATGATTTCAAAGTATTACTTCAGTTTCCCCTCTAATAACACCGGGGAATGGGACAAAAAAGAAGGAAAAAGGAAAGAAATCATTTTGCTTATATTGTGGTACCGCCCCTCTTCTTCTCTTCGCGAGTGCAGAGGTCACTCAATGACAGGGCACTTGCGAAGCGTGGAATAAGGCACGCATTTTAACCGTATATTAAGAGCACATGCGCATTTGAAAAGAAGCTGTGAAATGGCTGTTCACACTCGAGTGATATCTCAGTTCGAGTACCTTTTTTAAGAACGCTATTTCAAATTTTCTACAGACACCTTTGAACTTTATCAGATCTTTGATCTCTCTGAAATAGACGCATGATAAGATGCCTTTCCATTGCTACTGACTTACTGAGACTTACCAACGACATACAAGGGAAAGTGTGAAAAAGGAAAAAAGACACGACTCCTGATTATTAACCGAAACACCACCCACCAGGAACATACACATAACACATGAACCAAGCTCGATACCCTCCGCTCCTAACCCATTTTTCCAGACTGAATGAAATTAGGGATTAAACCACCGTAAGCAAACTCCCTTGTCTCGACTGGTTAACGAGTGCTTAATTTAAATGCCATAGATAGTTGAAAAACCTCTTTTCTTCCATAATTTCAGGTCTCGCGCTACACATATTTATATATACTCACATAAAAATTACAAAGTACATAAAAACTTACTGAGTAGTCTTCTCAATTAAGCGATTATTTTTCACCTTTTTTCTTGACTCCTCCTGTAAGTCTTAAATTTTATGAAAGATTATTGTTAACAGTAGATAGTCATCTTCAAGTGATAAATGAATTAACAAAAATTAGTATCGTACAGAACGAGTTTAAAAGAAGCGTCCACCGCAGGAAAGTAATGGGCTCGTGTGATCGCCAAAGAAATAACGTGAGGCAGTCTTTTGGCAAATTGGTTTAAGCAGGATAATTCGCCGTATAAATACAAGCTGTAAATGGTTACACGGATTAATTCATGCAAAACAATAGAACAAAACGATCAAAAGCCGCAAATAATTTCTTGTCTATTGTTGAACGACTTCGCCTAAGATCGAAAATAACTTTTTCAATTGTTCAGCGTATCAAACAGCATTCCTTGGTTCATTCTGAACAAAAATAACGCCATCTGATTGATAGAAGTATGTCAAGAAGTGTTAATGTTTTGTGTCTGTTAAAAGACGCACTTTAAATGCCTCAAACAATAGCAGTGACCAATCACGGAGCTGATGACTCGTTCAGCCCTGGAATAGACAAATATTTTACAGATCTTATTCATCATTACTCCTCCAGCAAACGAGAGGGTACGCCAAAGATGCCAGGTACTATTTAATCGTATCCGGGATTTAAAGGCTCCTGCGGAGTCGTTCTTGAATCTTTCATGACCTGTTTGCGCGCAATCTCAAAATCATGCAAACAAAGGGAAATTTATGATGGAATTTCACTTACCACTGAACTGACAGCCATGATCTCGCTATCACAATCGGCCGAGTGCATGTGTAAATTACATTCTCCTGTGTTTCCCACTCTTTGAGCAGCAGGCACTGGCGTGGTGGCCTTTCAAGGTAAGAGGTGTTGTGAACAACCGAAAGTTGAGAGGGAGAAGCAGAGAGCATACATGGCTTGGAAGTATATTCAGTTGTGTTCGAATCCCTGAGGGTTGATGTAAACATTGCGTCTATAACACTCGTTCTGCACTATGCACTAATGGTAATTATTTCGGCTAGATTGATGCTTTTAATTTAGCAATCAAAGGATCGTAACTGTGCGAATCTTACATGTTATTTTGCCACTAGCTGGCTATTAATAAGAGGATTACTTGTATAACAGAACAGAACTCCGATCTTTGCATGGTCAGTTCAAACTCAAAATGAAAAGACATTGTTTAAATAAGAAGTCGGTTACATAATTTACGTCCCAGCAGCCTCGCGAGCAGAGATTTCTCGTAAATTGACAACTTAGTCTCTGTGGAGTGAATCATGTCTCTTATCGATCTACTAGGACCCTTCTGCCCAAGGCTGTAAACTCAGGTCGTATGAGCATCGACAGGAACACGATCAAAGGTGTTGACGGACGACTTTTAAGCCTAGTGTAATCTTTCAGCATCATGTTTACATAGATGCTCCTAATGGAACATCATTGACTTTAAAAACAACCTTTGCATCGGAATTCCGAACAGTACTCGATACCCAAATCAGTCATGCACCTATTAAAGATTAGTTGCATCAACGGAAGTTCGGTTATATATGATTCCAATATCTGTTGGCATTGACGTCATCTCAGTTCGTCAATATTGTTCAGCCCCGTTATTCCAACTGAGCACGCGAAGATAAATTGATCACACTTGACTAGTTACTTTGCAACAAAGATACCTTCCCGGGCCCTGTTGAGTTCCAGTGAATCCAAGGATTATGGCAGTGAGGACTGTTCTTGTTACTGTCGCATAATTTAAACAACAAATATCACAGTTCTGGGCGGTTAACATGAATATTGTGGATAATTTTTTCAAGCATTACCGACCGGGGGAAAGCATTTCTCTCCATTAATGGGAAAGGAAGACGGGAGAAGTCATTGAACGATTGTGGAAAATTATAAACCCCTTTAAAAACAGCAGCAGAATACCGGAAACGATTTCCAACTGAGCAACCTTGATTACCATTTTAAACGAAATTTAACCTTTTTCTCACCCAGACATTAACCCTCAGATCAGTGATTACGACCTGTAGAAAACCTTGATCTAGCGAATTTGCGGGAAAAACAAACAAAATGTTCGTTATACCGAAGGATGGATAATAGTTGTTAATTTGCTTCATTTTTTATTTCTCTTTGTTTTCGCGTTACCCAGCAGTTTGGGATCGGAATGATTACTGTAAATAACATTTGAGCTTTAATTTCAATATGAAGCTACAGTACATTGTACAGGTCTGTACATAGCTACAGCACATTGTTTTTAGAGCACGGAGGATAAACCTCAATGAAATTCATTGGATAAAGCGGATCTGTCGTGACCACAGCCTTACATATAAATCTTTTCTTGCTTTTTTCAAATTGCCCCTAATTTTGAAGCTTGGATTAAAGAAACCGGGTGCTTGCCACATTTGAGTTTGTTCAACCAATTTTTCCTGAGCCATGGAATGTCTTGATCCACTTTACATGGCGTCATAAACTAAAAACTTTTTAGACTTGTGTTCATCAAGATTAAGTTTTAAACACGGTATAACTAACAAAAAACTTACATCAGCGACTACAAAACAAGCCTAATTTTTTTTTGGTAAGAGCAATAACAAGTCGTATGACAAGATACAAGAACGAACACTGGTACTTTTTCATCAAGCGACAAACCAGACACTGTCAATCTTTTTACATCCATCTAAAGATCATTTGCCAGACCATTGGTGACACTTATGTCATAACTTAAAGATTTTTTTCTTTATCTTTGCAGCCAGTTCGTTCGGAGGAACGCCTTTTATCACACAGCCGATGAGTTACGTAGAAATTCTGTCTGTAAGTATAATTTCAGTTTCGTTCGATTTCGTAACTTTTTTTCCATCTACGGTCAGCACACATAAACGACTGATATTGTAAGCTGTGGCGCTTCTAGGTCACGAAATAATATTGCAAGGACCAATCACGCTTTATGATTTCGAATTTGTTGCTGCAGCGTAGATACTTAGGCAATTGTTCAAAACGGACAAGGCAAGACGGAAAGAGACTGTTGGGGCGACTTCTGCGACAATTCACAACGTCCTCATCAGTTCCTCTTCATAAAAAGAAAAAACAAAACAAAGCAAAACTGAAGGGGAACAGGATCAAGCTGTGTATTCATTTCTGAAGAATATGTAGGCAAGTTTTCACCATAATGCATCGTAAAAGATCGAAAACTGTCTGTCCGGGTTTTTTTTTTTTTTTCGGCATGATGAAAATAGAAATGTCATTTCAATGATTGTCAAATCTGTACGGAGCCTGTATTACGTAGCTTTAACTTTATACGATCAAGAAAAGCTTTTGGTTATACTTCTTCTAGTATACAAACATGCACCTGTTATTTTTGCGCTCAAAGTGAACGTTCCTCTCTTTCTCCAAAAATGATCCTTAAGTGGAAGCGATTTGGAATGTCTTACATAAGTACTGCTCAACGAATGGTAGCTTTCATTAAAACAAACACAAAAACGAAACGAAAACAAAACAAAAGTAAAACAAAACAAAACAAAATTAGCAAAATGGAAACGTCTAAATTTGAGTAATTTTGCAAGTATGTACCTTAAATTTTGGTCAACGTCAGCCGAACATTTTTTCAAGACTCACGTATAAAAACGATTGTATACGAAACCGTTTGCGGAAACATCCCTTTAAACTCCACTGAGATACGCAAGCAGACATATCAACCGTTAAACCGCGGTTTTCCATTGCTATCTATAACAACAGTCATCTTTAGAAAGACGGTAAGTTTTGAGCGCGGTAAAGTAATAAAAAAAGACTTTTTCCGTCTTGTCACGAGCGTGAGACAAAGAAAAACTTCCCTGAGTCCCCATCAGGAATCGAACCTCAGACCTTCGGATTCCGCGCTCAGATGCTCTACCACTGAGCCATAGAGACTCTGTTGATGGGTCTTAATTTGCATATGACGATATTTAAGTTGCCTAGTTGAATGTGTCACAAACAATTGACGCGTCAATTAAGAAATCTATAAATAAAAGCTTTTCAGGCCAAGCAAGCATCAAAAACTTTTGGTGCACGAAAGAAAAAAAAAAACGGAGAAGAACAAAGGTTAAGTATAGAGAAGATTAACCCGTGTGACAAATTAACGCAAAATTAGCATTATAAAAAAACCGTTAGATAACAAGAAAGTGTTGAATTTTCGTTCTAGTCCCTCTCTATAACCACCATCGAGATTGACCGTGGCTTACGTTAGAGTGATCGGCAGAAAGCCATACAACACCATTCACATTCCCGCACAATACTTTAAAAATTTAAGCAGACTATGGAAAACCACTGAAAAAAATTAGGAAGATATAGCTATCAAAACCTACACCCGCCAACAATCCTCACGTGACTTCCGACTGAATATTGGACCGCTTTGAAGGTGGATTACATGGGTTTCGTGATAGTTCACATCGAGTGGATTTCTAAATAGGAATGCCAACGAACTTGTGGTTTGACGCTATTAAAGTTGTTATCTCTAACTGCTTTTACAAGGCAACATGAATATCTCTCGATGTTTCACCAGCGTGAAACTGATTGTCAACTTTTTGAGTCGGAACTGTTCAAAAGAGCTGATGGCCGACGGTCGTCTCCGCTGAAGGCACTGAAATATGTAATTATTCCGATATTTCGTATATCAAAGGAAAGTGCTCAGCCTGAAAAGAAAAGCCACAGTTTAGCGTAACAACGATCTCTATTATTGTGGCTTGGGCGTTTTCGTCTCTAATTCATCTCAATTAGGACTCGAATATTGCAAGCCAAGCTTGACGCTGTTAACTCTTTAGTGCATGTTTTAATTACCAAACTTCATCGTCATCAAAACATTGAGAATCTCAAGCACGATACGTGGTCTAAAATAAACCAATTATTCTATTATCACGAAAACCCAGATTGAATATGATATGTTGGCCTATTTTACATCAGTGTTCGTGACCAAGCGGGTTTTAATATGCCAAACGCCGGGTTGGGTGGGAAAGGTCGAATATCACGCGCGTGACCCATGATTGAAGCTCTAAACATAGTTTTTCAAAGTCTAAAGTTAGTTTGGGGCTGTGATGGAAAGAGAGCAGTATCTAGTGAGGAAATACTTCCAAACTGCGCGAAGAAAAATGGAAGAACCGGGTCTCAAACGAAGACGCCGCATGGGCGGAATGTGGTTACTTGATTTAAACGTAAGTAACAGTGTTTGAAGCCGTAGCCTGAAGCGTTACTACGCTAAGCAAACGTATCTGTTACCGCAACTCGAGTTCACATGTAGGAGGCTTAGAGGATTACACTCACGTAGGACGAAGTCGACGAAAAAGCTAGAAAAATTGCGAAATGTGCTATAAATGATTATGGTCACACGCTGTTAAAGAAATGCTTTCAACGTTTATCCGAACTGATACCATTCTGTGAGAAAAAGACTCATAGATTATTTGACTAATTAATCCCGGTGGTGTAGCTTTTGAGGTCTTTTGTTTAAAAGCGACGGGTGATTATGACTGTTATACAGGCGCTAGCTGAGGTAAGAACCAAATAACTTTGTTAAAACAGTCAAAGTAATGGAAGTTATCCATCTTCGATGACGTTACGATGAAGCCAGATTTAAACTGCTGAAAATATCGATATGAAACGTCTGGATTTGAGAAGCAAATCGACCAAATTTGACATCAATTATTACCAATAAGAAATTTCGAAGTTCATTTACGCTGTGAGATTCTTTTATTGTTCGCTCTTCTGCAAAACAAAACAAAATTTTAGATTCCGAGTACTATAAATATCAGGGAAGTTAAGCTGTCTACAAACTGCACTATCCCCATCAATTTACCCGTGAAAAGGTGACCATATATGTTAAGTTCAGAACGCTTTGGAACTTTGAACGGACGTGTACAACTGTATCGGATCATGGTTAGGTCTATCAAGCGGAAAAACTAATATTCACTTAAAAACAGACTAGGTTAATTCAATGGCAAAAAAATATATACTTCTACTAATGAAATACAGAGGAAGATAGTTGTAATTTTTATCGCGAAAGGGAACTTTCAACAATCCATAACCTCGATAAGTTTACAGACTAAGGAACTGTCGGCAAAAGAGACAATAGCCATATACTTTATGGTGTTTATATTACCTTTGGCGGTATTTCCTAGGGCAGTGAGACAGATAATGTTTGTGGCTGAATAGTTTTACAACAAAATTTGCTCGGGCATCATTTTGTCGCCGACCACATTATCTAAGTGTTCCATTCTGAGGCTTCTTTTCGTGTAAACTTGAAAACACCATTGACATGCAATACTGCTATCAATTTGGCATGCTAGTACAATATAAACGTTTTTATTCGCCTCCTCTTTCGCCTTTACTTATTCAATTTCAAAAAGTTTGACTATTTATTTCTTAAGGAATTCAAAAGTACGTGACACTGAAAATCTAACAGTTACAAAAAGGCCTTCATTTTTCTGTTAAATTTAGTGTAAATTTAGACGCAATGATACTTCCTGGATTCATGGCATTACGCTTAATCTGCCTGACAGACTGTTTGCAGACCTTAGACTTCTACGATTTTTGCACTGGTCGCGAAGAGCGATAAGGGCTGCGATTTACAAAAAGAGACACTAATCTGTCTGACTTACAACACAAATTAGTCCGACTCGCACCTGTACCTCTGTCTATAGCTTAGAACATGAGATGTAACACATATCTTATCCTAAAATTTCACTGAGTACCCTTCCATTGGTAAATACTACCATAATCATACTAAACTGGGTTTGAAAAGGTTTGAGCTTATTTCAAAAGGTTCAAGTCTTAGTCTTAAGGGACTACTGCGAACGCTCGAAAGAGGTTATAAATGAGTTCCATATTGCACTTCAGCAACATTTTAGAGCTATATCTGTGCAGCATTTTTACATGAGGAAATCAAGGACTTACGCAGTCCTTCGAATAAATGGAAAGTTCTTTTTGTAGTACAGCAGTATAACTGATGCCAAAATCACACTACCTATGGCCGAATGCCTTTTCTGCCTTTGTTGACTCTCAATGATCTTTGTCTGAATATGTGTAGTGCTACCTCTGCGTTGACGACACCATAGTGTATCTCTGAAATCAGCGCTGTCGTGCTACTGCTCCAAGCCTTTATCCATCGCTTTCAACTAAATCTTGAACTTTCCTTGTTTAGCGTATGGAGGCCTCATCTCTCGAGGACATTCTTTCAACCCCAAGCCCCGAGACGAACTCTCCTGCCGAGGATGACAATGAGGGGACTAGTTCTTCGTCACGAGGCGCTTTCACGTTCCCGGGAAGTGCGGACGAAAACGACAATGAGGTGCAGTAGAAAAGATATGCATCAATCCCACAACGTTAGAAAATTTTACTCAATTATCCTTGCTGTGTGTATTTATTGTCGTATCTCTGCCGAGAATTTTCTTTGTGGTTCGTTGTCAAGACATAATCCAATTTACACCATTTCTCTGATACCTTAGTGCGAAAAAAAAAACACTTTACGCCATTTCTCATATAGGCTTAGGAAAAAAATCACACACACACACACAGATCATTCGAGAGAGAGAAATGGAACATCTCATCAATTTGTTTTCTGCAAAAGTAAACAAATAGATTGGAAAAGTATCTTTAACTTTGTAAGGAATATCAGGGCTCCAATTTTCTTGGTGGCTATCAAGTAAACTTGTAACGTCGAGAGTGATTATGATATGTCACATGAGTTGCACATGTCTCACAGTGTTTTCACAATGTAAAGCAATCATCACATTGCAGCAATTTCCTTCATTTATGAATTATGCTTCAGAACATCATTCGTGTAAACACCAGACGACTGGGACCCGCAGAACCTATGGACAAATTTCACCTGAAAATGTTACAGCTTTCGGATCCAAATTTCTATATCTCGTGGTCGTAGAAAAAAACTTTTGAAAACTTTTATCATTACAGCTGATTATTGATAACTGTTCCATAGGTAGTCATATTTAGGCATTGATTAGATGTTATTAGTGGCTTTCAGCGAGTTTGACCAATGGTCGTGGGTCGTGGGTCGTAGGTCGTAGGTTTGGGTGTGGGTAGAAGTCGTGTCGGTAATAGTTAATAATTAATTGTTAATAATAATGATATTAATAGTACTACTACCAATAATCAATTATCGTTAAGTACAGATTTTTTGGTATAAATTAGCTGAATGAATTACGTATTACTTATATCTAAGTGAATCAATGAAATGGTAGTCTCACCGAGCTGATGCGATGATATTGGAATAAACAATAATATTCACAGTTGGCAGGAGCCCATTACTGGCTCCTGACAGTTGGAGAAGGGTTGGAGAAAGGTTTGTTCATGTCAATTATGTCAAATTACACCATAATTGAGGGAGGTAAAAGGGGGCTCCTAGATCACTTTTCACGAAAAATAAAATGGCCATTCACGTTTCACGAAAATAGCCATTTCACGAAACGAAGATAAAAGGTGTTCAATTACCTGTTGGAATGATAATTAGCTAATCACAGTCATATTTCCACACGTAGTCTTGTTTTGAGACGCGTACTGGATAATTTTTTTTAAAGGAAGAGAAACAATAACGGTTGAAGTCACGTTTCGCGAAAAAAAAACCCAGTCGTCTCGCAATTTCCATAAAAAGGCGATTCACCGTTCACGGCTATGTAACCAAATCACGTTTCACCAAAAAAAACCGTTCCCCTCTACAATAATAACAATAACTATTAGTAAAAGTACCATTAATATTATTATTATTATTAGATATGAACTATTAACTTTTAATTCAGTGTTAACTATTACCGACACGACTTGTCCCACACCGGCACCCACGACCCACGACCATTACTCAAACTCGCTTTCAGCGGGTGATGTTTCTGACGTTTCTTCAAGTGGCTTAAAAAAATTGCAAACAGACAGTATTTTTTGCTTGTTTTCAACCCGTTTGACATCGATAGAGGGCTGATAACGAGAGCCGGGCGGGTAGAGGTTCCATTTCCGACAGGTTTGGACAGATAAAGATAAAGAGAATTAAACTGATAAGTTCAGCGAGTTACTCTTTACTTCTTCTTATCAAAACAATTTTGAATTGTTTCTCTACGAAATAAGCAATACTCGAAAGACACCATCTGATAAGAGAAAAACGATTCTTGGTTTTGTACGAGTTTTTTTTCGATCCTTCTCTTCAGCTAGATTTTTGATAAAAAATTTGGCGTGGAAACTCACTGACATGGTTCTTCTCAAAAGGAAAGCAGAGCAAATGCCTGATGATAAGCAGAGCTTGAGCGCGATATGAATGACTCCTCGTGTTAAGCAGCTTTTTAAGGAAATACTTACTGAAAATATGGGTTATTAATTTCTGGTATTAATTCAAATTCCAAGGGATAGCCTCTAGGATGGTAGAATACTTTCAGTTCGCAAAAAACTAAATCAAACCTTGAGTGCCGATCTTTGGACGCATTAGAAATATGGCGCCAATTTTGATCACAATCGTACCCAGTTCAAGTAGACAAGAATTCCATTTACCTACTCATGCGTACGAGATGCCGGCTTGTGGATGTGACCGACATTCTCTGCTCAACACCGAATGTTTTCTTTCCAGGCCATTCAGAAGCAAGCAAGCGAAACAGAAGACGAATCTTCACGTCGCGCAGGTAAGCCTAACTGTTTTCTTTATCGTATTGCTACTCGACTGATAACATAGTTAGCATTTCAGAATCATCAAATTTTTTTTTGTAGCTTTATTTCTCTTAGCTTCGTATCAAATCGATTAATCATCACTGTTTGTTCTCACAAATTGCACGTTTAACCTTGTCCGCATCTTGGCACAAAATTCATGACTGTGCCTCGGCGAGTTACGATCCCATACCTCAGGGAACCATTATATTCTCCCCTCTTGGAGAGCAGCCTAGAAAACTGTTGATGGATCCATTTGCGGAAGCCATGGACTTGAAGTATAACTTTCTGATGTAACCAAAATGAATTTAATAACATGTACGACATCGAATAACTCTAAATTGGTGGACAACGTTCTTACCTTTAACATCTCATCCAAGACCTTTAATTTATAAGTTAAACTACTCCAATTACTTATGACGGATTGTGTTATTTTCAACTTGCGTGTATCGTGTATGGAAGTTATTTATAAGGCGGACCGAACTTGATGTTTTTGAATGAATTCCCGACATTTTTCTGTCTCCCACGAAATTTGGTTTCTATATGCTTATCTGGGCAAGTCTAAGCATTTTTAGGAAGGAGTGGGAGTGACAAATTATAAACTCTAAATCAAAGGATTTGAGGTTGTTTTGTGTACCGTAGAAAGTTCAAATCCAAATAATGTATCATACAGTAATACAGCAGTGTCCTTAAATGGTAACAAATGTTGGGCTCACTGAATTCTTAAAGTTATCTCGTCCATCAACCACGACATACTGCATGATTACAGTGTCCTTAGATGTTTTGATGCTTGCCAGAAATGATGCCATTCCAGTCCTGATAATTCTATGTTATCCAATATTTCATGATCAGTATTAGCTAGACGTTTATTGGGAAGGTGCCTATATTATCATCGATTGAACAGACTGGTTATCACTCGGTTAAAAGTGCATCGAGCCTCGCAGTATTCACATTTCTATACTATTAAACTGACTTCCAAATTAACATCGGACTTTTCTCTGATTTTGTTTCTGACTGTACAAATCTGCCATGAGATTAATTACCCCGTTGAAATCAACACGTCAATCCAAAAAAAACCTGCCCGCCTTAGGTTAATACATGATTAAACAAACTTGTGAGGAGACGAAGGAGTTATGACTGCCAGATAAAGCGGTGATAACTGCTCGTTGATCTGTGTGCTTCAAGAAGTCATGAGAGTTTCAAGCATTGTTTAAATACTTTAGACGCTACAGTAGCGTTCAAGTGATTGGTATTTCATTCCGCCGGCTTTACATCTTAAATTCGTATGCTTGAGTTCCACCAAGGAAGATATATGGCAGCCTCGCTGATCAAAAAAACGACTACTAAAATGCGGTGACAGTCCACGTGGGTGGAAAAACAAGAAAAATGCAAGAGGCCATTAAGTTTCTATTTTTACACTTAATTGATTTCTTTTGGTTATACCGAGACGTGTAGTTATTTGATTCAATTCTGTTTCTGCATCATTAATTTTATTTTAAGTGGTGAACGATACCACTGAAATGTCGGAATAGCAATTAGGCTAGAACTTGTTTACGTGACGGTGTAAAATCATCTATACAAATTAATCTCGTCTCTCAGCTCTCCTGCGGGAGAAAAGGATTCTGTTTCTGTACCGGATGTGTCTTCAATTGCCTTTTTTTACTTTGTTGCGTCAGTTACACAATAAGGCTCCAACCAAGATAGGACATTAAAGTACAGCCAGCTAATAATTACATTTTTGTGGTGTTCTACATCATATGCGTGTTTCCTCATTCGTCACGCAGCCTTGATGGAGCAAATGTGCAAAGAGTATGCAAATGTCCTGATAGCAGTCAGTTTTGTTACCTTAGGAAAAAACAGAGCAAAAGTGAAACTATTCCTCGATTTTGGAGCAATAACACAAAGTTCTTCGGATGACATACCCACGCCGTTCACAACTCACATATACCCATTCTACACGGCGTTTCATTTGGCTCGTTATTTTTGTGGGGTTTTCTTTCTTCGGAACTGTTTGTCGTTACACTCTCCAGTCTGAGAGGAACCAATTTCTCTTTTGTTGTCGAAGGCGTGTTTTGGGTCTTTTTTTCTGTAATGTAAACATTTCTCTACCTCTGTTTTCAAGGTTCATTTAATCAGTGGTTTAAGGTATGCAAAAAAGTGCCGTGCGTCTCTGAAAAGGTCAGCTTTTAAAGCCTCAACTTACATTTTATTGTTTGTTTGTTTTTCTGCCTTCTTGCTGCGAGCATCACTGAATTGGATGCCCTTCTCTTCCAAAAATGGTTTGACGTTGTTTACAACCTGTTTTACCACTTTCATTACTTTCTTTTATCAGAGGAAACAGAGACTTGGCTGATAACAGATTTGCTCCCCTGTAGATTGATAAATTGATTTTCCTTCCATTTCGCGATAAAGAATTAGTTGACTTGCCGAATACAAACCCTAGACTTTTCACTGTTTACTATCATTAAGGATTAACCGTAACTATGGCATTTGGCATTATCTTATTGGTAATTCTGTAGGCTGGCTTAGTAGCCAATCAGATTGTTCTTATAATGTTCCAGATCGCGTGCTGTAACTTTAGGGATCCTCGCTTAATGACAGATAGTATGACCTTAGACCTCGGTGAAATTTCATTGTCAATTGAGCCCATCCATTATTCTGTGCTGCACTGTGAGATAGTTGTAGTGTATCAAAACTAATTGAAACTCATTGCTGAGATTCACGCGTGGGAAATGACAAGACGTAAATGCCAGTTTCTAAAACCGCTTATCCTGGGGTGCTTTCATGGAAATGCAGGTAGTTCAAAACTTACGACTTTCTAACATTTAGTAGAGGAAAAAAGACAAAGCCATCGCTTTATTTACATAAGACATACTGGAACGCACACGTGTGATTTCTCAGAAACAACGCAAATGAAAGTGTTACTTCAGTAACTACACTCGACAAGTGTTTCGCAAGGGATCTCAAGCAAAAGGTCGTTCGTCACCTCCTTCTTAAACGACTTTGTTTTCAACCATTGTCTGTGTAATATGTTCGTTTTCTGTTGTTTCGAGAAAGTCGTAATTACGGCGTTTAGAAGGATAATCGCTTGTCAAAACACAAACTACGCATAGCCTTAGCATATTTCCTTTTGTTAACATATTTTTTCCTCATTAAGCTTCTCTAAGGTTTCATGTTTGTTTAAATTCCCTTTCTTACGTAACGCTGAACTGTTTTTGACGTTTCCGTGTCTCTAAATTTTTTTTTTCTTAACGAAACTGTTCTTGTGATTTTGAAGTAAACACCAAACCCAATCTGCAACATTTCAACCGAAGGTGTGATTCAAAGAGCATAAAAAACATCTTAAGCAAGGCCTAAAATGCTTAAATGAACGCAGAACACAGCTTTGAGTTGTGCATAAATCTATCCTACTATTTCGAGAATTCACCACTGAAGGGGCATTCTCGAGAATATCTTTGAATTCTATTTTATCCTCTGGACTCACTTCTTATCAACGATTTACTCAGGCAGTTAGCTACTTGTAGTACATATCTTCTTCTCAGTGATGGAAGATTTTGAAGGTAAAGTTCGGTTTCGATCTGTATTGGATTTTTACAAACAGGCATTCTTTCTACATAGTGCTGTTTTTGGAAACGAAAGTAAGGAAATCAGTTCAAGAGGAAGGAAGATAAAATTCGTAGTAGACCATGAAAGAGGACAATGCTGAAAGATAAAAGATGCAATTATGATCTGTTCAAGTTCCTGCCTAGAGTTATTTGCGTGAGACAGATAACAATCAAGACAATTAGAACTGATGAACTTTGTTGTTCACAAATTGATGCATAACATGCTGTGTCAAAGAAAATGGAAGAGCTCGTAAGACGGAAAAAAATTAAGAACAAATTTAAAGGCTGGGAAACGATATTAAAATACGCAGCATACAAGCAATTGCGCTTACACTTAACATCGGGTCTGTATTCTGCCTGGATCTGTATTTGTTGTTCTTAACTTTGGAAACTTACGGTTGTTTCGAGAGTTCGCATAACATATGTTTAAAGTTAGGGGTTATATCAACATCAAACCTTTGATGTCGTACTTTTATATCACAAATGTCTAAATAACCTTTGACTCGCTACGATATTGCAACTAAGACAAGTTATAGAGAGAAATGAGAACGGTTCCTTTGACATTTCGAATCGAAATTGATTTTGATCGATGGAATTCTAAAACGTGCGTGACATGCACGGTTATCCAGCGTGCTGAATTCATTAAAGTCGATGCTGTCAACAGTTTGAAGATTTACTCAGATTAGCGACATTCTAAGGGCTTAATTGAAGTTTTTTTTCAGCGCACTTCTTTGTTGAAAGACGACGAGGTCACCCTCTCCCATGTTGCCATTTCGTGTTTAAAGTTCCTAATCACGTACGTTGAAGTATCTCTTAATTACGAACCTGGCACCTTTGCTTAAACGTGATTTTTTTCACAGCAAGGTTTTTTTCCGTCAGTATTAAGTTGAGATGTTAAACCCCTTCTATCCTACTTAAAGATGTTATTTACAAAATATTTTTGAATAACCAAAAATAGCGCTACTTGATACCCGCTAATTAACCTTGGTATCAGCACTGAGTTAAGGACGTGATAACCAATTTTAAACCTCTATGACGTAATCAGAGTTCTATAAATCTTAGGACCTCCAATACGGCAAACTTCCTTATAAATAAGATATCGTTATCCTCGCCTAGGTTCATCCAGATCAAAACTGCCGTGAATCTTAAATTGTGTTTCATAGATTTAGGCATTAGTTGGACGAGATTGACTGGCATGTCGCCACTCGAAACTCTTTTGCCATTATTAGGCGAAAATTGTTAAATCTTCCGGGTTGTACACAGCAGTTTGATTTCAGACGAAATGGTGTTTTCTAAACTTTAGTGTTACTGGCGGTATTTTTGAAATAAGGTAATTAATACCTTCCAACGGAAAGCATTTTTGCGATAAACGA